AACCATGTAACTATTTGGGGTTAAGTATATGAGTTACAGTTTCCTATGACAGTATTTTGGGTCTGACTAGAAAATATGGATATTCAATCACAGTGGATGTAGTACAATTTGTTTGTAGCTGGTAATGTCTCCAATGGGAGACCACTGTGTTGTGTGCTTCAATAGCCATTTGATAGACCTCAAATAAAATGATTCTCCTGGGTAAGTAAATGTATCATGACTTGATGCTCAGGGCTTAAGGATATTGCCAAGGCTCAGGTGCTGTATTTAGTCTGGAATAAGCAGCTTTTTGTAACTAATTATATTATTCTCTTAGATATATCAGAATTTCTGATATATGCTAATTTCTTTGTGTTTCAATATTTAGGCCGACATAGGCCTTTCCATGGGCATCCAAGGAACAGAAGTCGCAAAAGAAAGCTCTGACATCATTATCTTGGATGATAATTTTGCTTCAGTGGTGAAGGTGAGTTGGAGAATCTATTTCGGTGTTTGTAGAAAATGTTAGATTGCTTTCTAGAGATTAATTGTCTGTGATTATAAGACTCGACTATGTACAATGTCAGGAATGCTTATTAAGTCTTTTCACCGTTAAATACAACACATTTATATAAACTTCAGAATTCTGATGAGAACATCTGTTGGCCTATGGAGGTGGGTTTTGAGGTCAAAAACTCATTAAAGCTCATAGATATGTATTCATGTTCTGTTTTTTATTCAATCTTGGAAGGTAATTTTGCTAAACTGTGAAAGTAAATTGGACTAACTTATAATGCCTATAGAAGTGTAAAATCTTATTCTGCATCTGTTATGTAAATGCTGGATCCTTAGCCAGTAAGTATTAGAATAGTCTGAACTTTCATTAAGCCTCAATCACAGACGATGTGCTTATTAAGCCTTTTCACTGTTAAATCATATTTATCGGAACTTCAGAATTCTGATGAGAACATTTATTTGGACCATAAAGGTGAGGTCGAAAGCACATGAAAACTCAGATGTGTATTCATATTCTATATTTTTTATTATGATCTTGGAAGGTAATTTTGCTGAATTTTTGAAGATGACTTTGACTAACTTTATAACGCTGAATTTTTTAAAATGACTTTGACTAACTTTAAAACTCAGAAGGTAATTTTGCTGAATTTTTGAAGATGACTTTGACTAACTTTATAATGCTTCTAGAAAATGTGGCTACTTATTCTGAGATCATAAATTATTCCGCATCAACCATGTAATGTTGGGAATTCTTAACCAGAAGGTATTAGAATATGGTCTGACTTTCATTAATTTTGCAAAAATGTGTAACATGGGCTCATCAAAGTTTTAAAGTCAACATGAAAATCGAAGTTCCACCGAGATTTTGCTAGATGATGTAGTGACAAAGAGGGGGCGAGAAGGCAGGAAAGAGGAGTCAGAAAATAAAAACAAGCAGTTCAAGCTTCTTTTTGTCTTGTTATTGCATCCCTTTTCCTTTGCATCGTCAAATTTCCTAGTGGATATTCTTCTTCTTTAACTGACATGTCATCTGTTGAGCCATGTTTATTTGATAAACATGGAGAAAGCAGCCAAACGCTGAGGAAGAAGATGATGTGTCGTGTTAAGTCTGTGTTGTATCAGCTGGTTTTAGTTTGTCAGTGGCTTAGTGTACTAGCATAGATGAAAAGCCATGGTCCTTGACTTAAATTTATCTCAATGTAGGTTGTACGCTGGGGCCGTTCTGTTTATGCAAATATTCAGAAATTCATTCAATTCCAGCTCACTGTTAATGTCGCAGCTCTTGTAATCAATGTTGTGGCAGCAGTTTCTTCCGGTGATGTTCCTCTAAACACAGTGCAGGTCCTCTCTCTCTCTCTCTCTCTCTCTCTCTCTCTCTCTCTCTATACACAGATACAGGAACACGTGTAGAATTTATAATTACTGATTACATAGGTATAAATATGTAATATGTATATGTATAGTGTATATGTGTGCTGTGTTTTCATTCAGCGAGTAATTAGGAATTATAATATTGTAGACTGCATGATATATCCTTCTGCGTTTGCTCAAGGATACTTTTTTGTTTGCAGCTTCTTTGGGTCAATCTAATTATGGATACTCTGGGAGCACTGGCTTTGGCTACTGAACCACCAACTGACCATCTTATGCATAGACCTCCTGTTGGTCGAAGGTCGGTGGGAACTCCATGGGAATTTAATATATTATCTCCTCACATTCATAATATTTTTTATAATTTCGAGTTGTCGCAAAATGAATTATGCCACAGAGCCTGCTAGATTGAGTTTTAAAATGGTGCATGATATTGATCAGTACATCTATTAATATTTCTGGGAATGTAAGCTTGAAGAATGTTTTTTTCTTCTCCTTTTTCCATTAACTTTTTATGTGTAGTAGATAATGACTCACTGTATTCTATAGTATTGAGAAGAAATTAATGTAACGCTAGATGCATCTTTTTCCATTTCTCATGATGTGTTCTTCGAAGTCTTTCATTGGCATCTTCCGTAGTACGATGGTTCAACTAATTTTGAGGGACATTCCTGGTGTTCTTATGCATCACCATTTTGTCCACTTATTTTCCAAAAGGGAATCAAGATGTAGATTTTACTATGAATTGGTTTGGTTAGCTTCTCTGTTGTTTGTTTAATGGCAGAACTCCTCACTTACAGGAATAAGATTCATCATAGGACAGATTTCTTTATCTAAATGAAACTCGCTTGCACCTTCTGTATGTCTCCCAATAGTTCTGATGGTTTTTAGTTCACGGCTGTGTATATGATTCTTATGGGGAAAAAAAAAACCAGACGCAGAGTGTTGGTTTTCTTATTTTACTGTGTTGCAATAATTTATTCAGGCTATTTACATGCTCTGATACTATCATTTGTGAAACTTAGGGAACCTCTGGTAACAAATATCATGTGGAGGAACTTGTTTATTCAGGTCTGGCCTTACTAATATAAGACATCATTGTTTCATTTTATCTTGTTATTTTCACCTTAAAGAAGAAACTTTAATAGCACCCTTTTTTTTAATTAAAAAAATTATTATTTTTCTTTTCTGCAGGCTCTCTACCAAGTTGGAATCCTTCTTGTTCTCAATTTCCAGGGCAAGAGTATTCTTAGCTTAGAGCATGATGACCCAAAACATGCTAATATGGTGAAGAATACCTTAATTTTCAACACATTTGTTTTCTGCCAAGTAAGTTTTTCCTTCCTGCAAAGCAGAAGAAGGGTGTGTCTGAGATGTCATTAAAATTTTATTCTCTTATCTGATGAAAAAGGAAATGTGTGTATGCTGTGTATTTCTTTAAAAATGGTTATCCCCTCTGTCGATAATTTTCTTTCTTCACTTGTCTTATTCAAGGCTAGATTACACATCAAGCCTCAGACATCTAACTAGTTCAAATACAGATATTCAATGAGTTTAATGCTCGAAAGCCAGATGAAATTAATGTCTTTACTGGCGTGACCAAAAACCCCCTCTTTACTGGGGTTGTGGGAACTACTTTCATACTTCAGGTGAGAGATCATCAACTACGCAGATAAAGGTTTCTGATTAGAATTCTTTCATTTTGTTGTCACTGACTATCATATTCCTCCATACAACAGATCATTATCATTGAGTTCCTTGGAAAATTTACATCAACAGTTAGACTCAGTTGGAAACTATGGTTGGTTTCACTTGCCATTGGTATTATCAGGTAGCGTACAACAGGGTTTTGTGGTTTTTGTTGGTTTGACTAGATTATCTCACACATCTCAACATCTTTGTTTATTGTCACAGCTGGCCTCTTGCAGCTGCGGGAAAATTGATCCCAGTTCCGAAGACCCCCTTGGCTAAGGTCTTCATCAAGTCGTATCAGCAATGCATTGCAGCTCGTAATCCATAAATGAATTCTTTTGGCTCAGCTGTTGCATGCAGATCTACTGTCCTACTAGATTGTGTATATGTATAGTACAGATGAGTAGTAATTGATAGTTGCTGAATAGGAAGAAAAAAGAACCCAAAAAACATTAAGATAGACATTATAAACCAATCCTAGAGTATGTTGTTTATAGTACATGACAGATATGTATACTGTCCACTAGGTTGTAGAATAGTTAATACAATGTAGGATTTTAGTATTTGATAATTATGAATAGGAAGAAAAAAGAACCCAAAAAACATTAAGATAGACATTATAAACCAATCCTAGAGTATGTTGTTTATAGTACATGACAGATATGTATACTGTCCACTAGGTTGTAGAATAGTTAATACAATGTAGGATTTTAGTATTTGATAATTATGAATAGGAAGAAAAGAGAACCCAAAAAAAGATTGAGATAGGCATTACAAAGCACCCCGGAAGTATGTTGCTTATAGTACATCATAACTATGTATTTTTTTTATATACAGAACAGGAGTAAGTATTAAGTATAAATCTTGTTTATAGCAATTTGTATGGCAGATATGTCCGTAAAAAGCAACCTGAAGGTATGTTGTATATATCTATTTCACAGAACAGGAGTTAAGCAGTAAGTTAAACTCTTGTTTATAGTAATTTGTGGAAATGTGTATTTATGGCAGATGTATATTTTTTCACAGAACAGGTGTATAATTTGTAAGTCGTGGTATATCTGTTGCATTGTTCATTTACCTGCGCCTGCTTTATGGATCTGAGCCTTCGGCAAAAGCATTTCGATTCGTTAATATTCCTAGTTGTCAACGTGTCATGGTTAAAACGTCTTATTATATTTGATCATTTGCCAGTATTTATATTAATCAAGTGCACGTTGTATTACAGGTGTGTTGCACTACTGGTTTCATGTTTTGTACTTTGCTTTAACATTATAAACAAAAGATTTTCATAGAAACGCATAGCATTTATGGATAAAACAAAGGGTTTGTTTTCCTCAGGAAGAGGAGCTAAATCCATCGGTGACAAATTTGAAATACGTGCCTCATCTCTGTTTCTCTCTTCATCAAACGTGCAAATTGTTAGTTAAAAGTTGACAGCAGCATAATGAAACTCGAAATGCCCAAGATTTTCCATTCAAAATCACTATACTCGTATGAAAATAGCATATGTCCAACAAATGATAAACTTAAACACAATTTGGTTGAGGGTGAAAGGGAGGTGCTTGATCTCTTCCACCAAGACCTCTACAAATGAACCCCAAAAAGATCTATCTAAATATTGATCACTACAAATTTTAGAAGCAAACCTGTGTCTTCTGTAAACAAAACTCGAAAGAACAGCAGGACAAGAGAGCCCATCTTAATAGTAGTATCATAAGGGTCATTGACCATTCTTCACAACGAGCTAGCAGAAGCATGAGTACGCAAAGTGGTTCCTTTTTGAGACGTAATGAGATATGTAGTCTGTTAAAGAAGCAGAGGAACCAGAAATATCAGCAGGAACAAGTATCTGAGTCTTCCCAGAGGCGATTCTCTTGCCGGCCACATTGGCATAAAAGAGCCCTGAGATGGCTGGTACAAATACATCACTCTGAGAACACATGTGAAAGTCTATAACTTTCTCCAGTTCTGAATTCTCTGTGTCAAGAAATCTTGCTTTTTTGTCTATGGGCATTATGCTTTCCTGCAGGTGCATTTTGAAGCAAGTCAAGCGTCGAAACAAAGACTAAACAACAAACATACGTGTATATACTAAACACAAATCTGGCTCACATGAACTGAAGAAACTGTACCTTGGTGTATGTTCTAGGAAAGAGATCCTTTAATGCATCAAGGCTGCTATCCCATCTTGATTGAGTCAGATATATAGTTGTATCTTTGTTGAAACCAAGTTTTCTCAAAAACATAGCTATTTCCTGTGGACCAAAGCAACTCTTTGATCTAGAACCACTGTTCCCTTGACAGCTCTTTTTCTCCAATATATCAACCCTTAGATCCACGGCAATAAACTGTCCATTTGACTTCCTACTCAAAGTTCTTAAGCGCTCCACCATAGATTCAACTACTCCATTAACTTGAGGCTGAAGCTCTAAAGTTCCAAACATTCCCAAACATGCAATTGCATCAATGTTGCTATTGTCTTTCAATTTTTTCATGTTTACTGAAGGAAAATAAGTGGCTAGTCTTATGCTCCCCTTTGATCTGAAAATCGGCTCAATGTTATCAGCAATGTATTCTTCAGTAACCCTACTAGGAACCTTCACAACTGCTAGGTTCCTTTTGGATGGCTGGGATTTTGTTACTTTTACCACTCCATTTAGGCTTTTCACAAAGTGCTCAACATCGTAGACCTCTTCAAAGTTCCTGAAAGTCACAAAATTATGAGTGAACTACTACAGAAAAGTTCTTTTCCAGTTAGAACTGTACATTACATGACCTACACAAGAAGATGGAGCAGAGACCACTTTAAATACTGACCTTTTATCACCAGGTTCACTTCCCCTGATGTCTGGGAGTACAAGATTTGCTCGCAGATATCTTGCTATTACCACTGCATCAGCAATCTGCAAAATTGCCACAGAGAGAATACACAATTAAATTCAGTCTCACTCATCCTGTAAAGATACCTTCTGCTCAATTATTTTTGAAGGGGTGAGGGGTAAGATACCTGAGAGACGTGATATTCAGGACCATTAGTGAGCGAGAAGGTAACAAATCCTTGTGATTCGTCAGCTTCCTCTGTTAGAACACAACCATTTAAGAAAAATATGCTCATCTAAAGTAAGAGAGAGTGAAGTATTAAATCTCTCACCAATAAGTGATATAGGCCTACAAGGTTTTAGAGAAGGCCCATCTCCATCGATAACCAGGCTTTGCTTTCTGGTACTATGAATTGATGTGTCAGAATCCACCTTGGTAAAGATAAATTGCAAAATTAAATCAAATTGATCAAATTTGTAAATTCTATTAGTAAAGTGAAAAAAAAAGATGACTGAATCAAATAACTACTAGTGGTAGCATCTATCCACCTTTGTGGAGTGCTCTTCACGTAATTTAACTGGATCTCTAAATACAAAGTGATAACCAAGATGCAAATATTTGAAAAAAAATAAAATAAGTATAAGCCAGAAAATTGGTGGGATCTTTCGAGAAACTGGGAAGAGTATTGTAGGTAATGGCTGCCAAAGCTTTACACAAGTTTACATTTGAAGATGCTGAATCTAAATTGGAATCATAAACAGAGGCAGGGCTAGGATTTGAAACTTATGGATTCGCGATTTTAGCTCTTTTAAATTACTGGGTTATAAATTAATAATCTGTACATATTCCACGAATTTCACGAGACAAATACAGAGTCTGCACAAAAATTATTGAGTTCGGCCGAACCGTAAACAGAGCATGTGTTGAAGATATACGAATCAATATTAAGGAAAATGAAGATAGTCTTACAGGAAGCTGGGAATCAAAGTGGTCGCGCTTGATCATGTCGCCGAGCATAACGAACATAGTGATAGTAAGAACTCCAGCCAAAACCTGTCTCGGATCCACTCCCATCTTTGATCTTTCTGCACCACCAACTCTACTCAGCTCTAGTGTGCAGTGTGGTGCCGGACTATGACCAAACACTATTTATTATTACTCCCAATAATAAATGATGGGATTATTATAATATATATAGAGAGAGATGGGAACAAGCAAAGAGCAGAAGCTGGACTGACTGTAGTAATACACACACTACAACGTTACCAATTACTACAGTATATTATATTTTTCTTCGTACATGGGGTGGGGGG